TGCCTTGGGCCAGGCCATTGAACATTTGGCACCTAACCCTTGCAGAGAGTCAGACTGGGTGGCTGCCATCCCCTTCCCTCTCACCTTTCTCCTCTTCCTGTGTCCGTGGAAGAGGGATTTTCAAAACCAGTTTAGTTTCCAAAAGTGTACATTTATGGGGAGGGAGGGGGCCTAATTTGAGTGAGTGAGTGAGTGTGTGTGTGTGTGTGTGTGTGTGTGTGTGTGTGTGTGTATTTTTTATCATTTTTTAAAATGCAGTACTCTTTGTATCAGTCTGTCATGGGTCTATAGCTGTTTCAGATTTTTTTGAGCTGTACTTGAGCATCTGAAACTGCAAGAAAGAAACTGATTAAATGTGATTCTTCTTACTAAACAGGCCTGACTGCTATAGCTGTGTGACTTCCCTCCCTCTACCTTAGCACTGCCCTACCCCACAGGAAACTCCCCTCTCACCCCCTTGTCCCATAGGCTATGTTCTGGCAGGTGGGCAGGAAGCTCATGACAGGTCCCAGGGAGGGCAGCCAAAGGCTCTCGCTCCTTCCACAGGCAGCTGTAGCTTCTTGACTGAATGTAGCACATCTCGTCCCCACCCACTGTTCCTATCTCTTCCTAGTGACTCTGATGTTTGGCAAGAATAACATTTTGTTCTGTTTTTCAAGAAATAATTCAACATGAATGTGGAAAGCAAACAAAAAGGTGTAAGTTGCAAATGCTACCAGCATGTGCAGTGGTGTGTGTGTGTGCCCGTTGTGTGTCTGTGTGTGTGCATATATATGTGGTGAGCATATATATATTGTGCAGCTAGGGCGAAGCCAGCAAAGAGGTGTGTATGTTGTTATGAGATGTTTGAAAAGAAATAAGCTGACTGCTTGATAATCATTCTCAGGTGTAAAGCTCCAACTGTAAATAAAAGTGGCATTTAACAAATTTTTCCAGAACAAAGTACAGCTGATGATATCCAGCAAGCAGTAAGCGAAAGAGACAGCTGAGAGCCACTGGTCTCCACAGTGCTGAGTGAGGAATCGAGCTCTGCTCTGCACTTCACTAACTTTGTATAAGGAAGGGATGATGGGAAATCATGGAATTAAGTAGTATTTAAACAAGAAATGGACGTAATAGCTCTTCTGATTGAGTAAAGCCTCAGTGTTGCTTTATCTTAGTTTACATTTTTACTTTTTAAAAAGCAACAGATGGTTTTAAAGGAGTATTGTGACTGTAGAATTGGGAAATGAGACCCATGCCCCAACTTTGTTGTAGCTGTGGCAGAGCTGGGCAAAGGAACGGTAATGGGCTCGCTGCACCACACATCCTTGAAGAGTCCATTGACCCTTCTGAAGCTCTTTATAGACTTGCGAAAATGGGGACTCACAGACTGTCGAACGCCGCCTGCACTCTAGCAGAGTCCTGGAGCTGCTGGGACCTCTCCTATCATGTCACTTGGACTTTTTTTCCTTCTTGTTTAAAGGACATAAAATCATAGAATCCATATAATCTGTGGCGTCATCCTGACCCACATGTAGATCTGTATCTAATAATTATTTGGATTTGGACACGTGTCAGTGACATTATGGCTGTGTAATAAAATTTTTATTAAAAATGTCACACACTGTAGCCCCTTTACCACTCCCCTCTGCAGCTGCTGAGATGCCAAAGCACGGGGCAGAGAGAAAAGCCCACCAAAGAAGAACAAAAGTTAACCCAGCAACTGACCTGCCTGTCTGCTGATGCCAGCCAACATTCAGGATCTATCTGCAGTCTCAGCTGTGGCGGAACCTCTGAGCCAAGATCTCAGCCACTCATGAGACATTAGCTTTGTTCCACCAACTGGGTTCCTGGTGGGTCATAGTTTTTCTTCTGCTGGTGAATAGCCTCAGTGGCCCCTCCATCACCCCAACTTCACTTCACTGTTGAAGGGCATAACACCCAAGGCTGTTTTCTACCCTTCAGTTCTGAGAAGTAAGAGTCAGTGTCCATATGCCTAGCTCATGCTGTCTGTAGATCTGTTGTCCGTCTGGTTTCTGACAGGGACAGAGAAAATCTGTTTTTGTTATTTTTCTGTGAAGTCCTGACTTGTCACTCAATCTGTAAATATATTTGTAAATAAACTCGATGGCATTTTAACAAGGGATCAGATTTGGTCCAAAGCTTGCATCTTGAGTGGCACCCATAAAAAAGTCCCCAAGAACTTCTCTGCCTGACCCCACACTAGGTTCTACATCCCCAGAATGAAAATGGCTGTCTTCAACCCTTAAGCAACATCCTCATGATGGTAGTTCCCTGACCCAGCGTGAGCTCCAACATGAGCAAGTATATATGCCTAATGCGCTTCTTAACCTTAGTGAGAACCTCGTCCTAACAGCTTTCTCATGACCCAGGCACAGTTCTTTTGCCTGCCATGTATGGAGCAGGAAAGCTAGGGATTGAGTCTAGCTGATTTCCTGCAATCCTGCCCTACACAGATAAGACCTGTGAGGGCTCCCAACAATGCTAAGGCTGCATCATACTTCTTTACCTGTGTTGGCTAAGCAGCAAAAAAGAACTTCAGTCATCCTCTGTGGAGATGGTAAAAGCCAGTGCAGGGCTGCCTGGTGTTGACAAGGTAGGACCTACAAGCACATCAAACTTGTTACCACTTACTGCTTGACCATTGGGTGCAGAGAGCCCTTTAAAGCAGAGAATGAGTTGACAAGCCACTTAGTTGTTAGTATCTGGTTGCTGTGGAGCAGCCACTTGCACATCAAGTAACAACGGAGAGAAGGGGAAAGATGGTCAACTTTGTATCAGCTTCTCTCAGGAGAGGAGACTGTTCATTGAATGGCCTAAGAACTCTTAACAAGCCAGAAAGCCATAAACCCAGCTCAAGATGGTTTTTTTTTTTTTTTTTTTTTTTTTTTGCATGATCACAAAGACCAAAGGCTGACACTGTGTTTCCTTGGGCTGTACTTCGAGCTACAAGGAGCAACATTAATTACTAAAAGGTCCACTGTAGCTATGAGGCTGCTCTAGGCCTGCCCCCGTCCTTGTGGGTGAAACTGAATGCAGTTTCTTTGCCTGAGGTAATACCCGTCCATTGGAGCACAGGCACATCTAGGAACTTCAGCATGCTCCGCGTCTAAGATAGCCAAGGGCCGAGCCGGCACTTGGTACTCATCTCCTATCACTACCTCTTAATCCCTAGGGATAGCCCATGTCTCTGTGACACAGTACCTCATCTTTTAAATGAATAATGAGCTAGACATGATAGCCCATGTCTTTAATCCCAGCACAACCACCAAAACAGCTGTAACTAAATTGGCAGTTTGCCTGGCGTTCACATGACTCGACGCAATCCCCATCAGCACATGACTGCAATGCCAACAGTAAGGAGGTGGAGGCTGGACAGACAAAAATTCAAGGTCATTGTCTTCAGCTACATAGCCAGTCTGGTTTGGGGAATCTTCTGGAGGCCTCACTCCCCTTCTTTGTCATTACCTCTGGCCTTCCAATATACACTACCATCCCATAAACTACCAAGAGTATTGGAGTCAAGCCAGAAAAGTAGAATCTCATCAAACTTCAGTTCTTCCCATAACTATATCAAAGCCCTGTCCAAAAGTACGAGTTTCTCTTAAACAGTGGTGTTGGGAACTCAACCCTATCCAGGCAGCACTTACCTGATCGCTGATAAACGAAGAAAGGAGGGGAAAGGATCAAGCCGTATCCTTGATGAAGCAGACAGGCCCAGGCTTTCTGATCCCAAACACTTCGCATGCACAGCGGAAGGGACTGTCGAGCGGCATTAAAAGCCCAGGCTTCCGGTCTGTTGGATTCTAGAAACGCGGCTGCGAAGGGTGGAGCTGGCCCGTTGGTGATAAGCGCAGGTGTGTCCTAAGGGATCTGATGGGTCCCGTGTCTTGGCAGCCCAAGTAGGAGCACAACTGGAGGGTGAGCAACAACTGGAATGGATCGGCTCCGAAGCCCGTGAGCGCTTGCATGTGTGTGACGTGTTCCTCCTTCCCTCAAGCTTGAGGTATCCCTGGTCTTAAGGGAGTTGAGGTCTTGACACTAGCCAGTATGTCCTAAACTCATCTGCAATGGACGCTAGCCTCTAGGACACTGGGACAATGGCAGCTTTCCAAGATTCCTGCTTCTGATGTTCTGTGTACTCTGTCACCAGGTCATACCTGCCAGAACTGGGTTTTAGTTGAGAGCCGCATCTCCTACTCTTTCACTGGGAGATACAGGGAAATTTCCTAGTCAGCACTTACTGTAGGCAGACTCAGCACATCACTAGCATACATGGACTGGATTTGAGCAGCCTCAGTTTCATACTCTAGAGTCCCTGACTGCAGGCCCTCTGGGAGGTCATCACCTCCAAGTCTCTGGCCACTACAAAAGGCCCTACAGTTCCCTGTTATCAAGAGACTCATAGGAACACAGGCTCCTTGAGGAACAGCAAACCTTGGTTCTGAAGTGTGTCAGGACAGACTGCTGTAACACCACATACACAGGCGTGATGATACATTTTTTAGACAAGAGTGATAGATTATAGAAGGTCAGCCCTGCTATCATTTTGGCTATTCCAGAACACTGCCACAAAGGCTAAGCTATCAGTATGTGGCGGATTGCTAGAGAAGAGAAGAAACCCAGAGCTGAGACTTGTCAGAGGTTAGAACTGTCAAGGAAGACACCCTGTACATTTCCTCTTCCAGAAGGACTGCTCTTCCCCACCCTACAATTGAGGTTAGGTCTAGGTCAGTCCTCTTTCTATAATGCCCTGGGCAGAGCCAAACATCAGAGTGACCATTTGAGAATGTTCAAAATAGGTAAAGAAACTGAGAGACCAAGGCTCACAGTGCTCCCCTGAGGACCCATTGCAAACAGTGAAGGAAGCTCTGTGGTGTCCTACAGTGCTCCCCTGAGGACCCACTGCAAACAGTGAAGGAAGCCCTGTAGTGTCCTATGGTCAGTTTTCTGGATGGTGCCTTTGTGGTTTTCCTCTATAAAAATGTGATCAGGGTCTGGTGAAGGGGCTGGAGGCGCCATGTCAGACCTGGAAGGTGGCAAAAAGAAGCCCCTGAAACAGCCCAAGAAGCAGGTCAAGGAGATGGACGAGGAAGATAAAGCTTTCAAGCAGAAACAAAAGGAGGAACAGAAAAAACTAGAGGAGCTAAAAGCCAAGGCTGCGGGGAAGGGCCCCCTGGCCACAGGTGGAATTAAGAAATCTGGCAAGAAGTAAGGTGTTCCTCACATCGGAGGTGACAATGACCCTCCTCCTCCATCCCTATGTAAACATCTGGATTCCCTGCCATAACATCTTTGTCACTACAGCTAGAATGAAGTGTTATCCTGTAACCTGTCAAACATCTGGATTCCCTGCCATAACATCTTTGCCACCTAGTAGCTAGAATGAAGTGCTATCCTGGAGCCTGTTGTTGTACATTGTAATAAACTTTTGTAAAAAAAAAAAAAAAAAAACAATGAATAAAGTGAACAATGCAATGAAAAAAAATGTGAAATAATGATCACCTCCAGTAATAGAGCCATTTGCTCTTATATTCCTTCGCATCCAGCTCAATGTCTGGTTTACTGCAACTACTCAGTAGGCATTTGCTCAGTGAGTCAAGGGATTCCCACAGAACTCTGGAGTCTTATGTTCAGCACGGCTCTTAGAAAGACCAAGCTCCCTAAGGCATGTGTTACTAGAATGAAATTTTGTACTAATCCCACCAGAGGAAAATGATACCCTAATCCCTCCCCCCCAACACTGAGTCAGTTCCACAGAGGAGGACCTGGAGTCTCAGAGTAAGGAGTCCCTCATTCAAGAGTGCATGCTTTCCTGTCCACCCCCCTGTTTGTTTTACAGAGCTTTAGAGGAGCTGGAGAGATGGCTGAGCAATGAGAGTCATCTAACAGAGGACATAGGTTTGATCCCCAGCACCCACATGGCAACTCACAACTATCAGTAACTTCAATCCCAATGGATCCGACACCCGTTTCTGGCCTCTGTGAACACTGGGTATTCCCACATGGTACACAGATATGCAGGCTAAAGACCCATATACAAAAAATAAAGGTTTTTGGGTTTTATTTTATTTTGTTTTTTAAAGTTAAAGACACTTTAGAAACTGCACAGGACCAGATAGACGTGGGGGTAGTGAGCAGTAATTTTGCTTCAGCACCTGGAGTGGAGGCAGAGGATAGAGATAAATTGGGCGCGTGTGCACACACACACATGCACACACTCACACACACCCCTCACTTTGCTCATACAATTTCCAGGCCTCCCCTTTTCCCATATTTTTGTCCCATGGCTGTTGCCCTCCAGAAGAAACACAGCCCTCACACATATTTAGTCCAGATGGCTAAGCAACAGGGAGAGGACTCGGGCACCTTAGCACCCACTATTTAAAGGTGTAGGAGGACCAGCCCACTGATGTGCCTCAAGAAAACAGGTTGAAAGCTGGGTATGGTGCTACATGCTTGTGATCCCAGCCCTCAGGAGGTTGAATCAAGATTGCAAGTTGAAAGTCTCCCTAGGCCACAAAAAAAAAAAAAAAAAAAAAAAAAAAGATACTTTGCTTCCAAATGACAGCAAGCTGGTCTGTGGCCAAAGCAGTGTGACTCCCGTGGCCTAGCTCAGAGCAATCCCTCAAGGGCCCCCAAAACCTTGACATACTCTTCTATGCCCCTTGCTCCCTTTCAGCCCTTTTGTTTCTCAGCACACAGGAGGCCACACCCACCACCAACACACTACAAAAACTGATTTCCTTCACATCCATTCTATTTAAGCAACAAAAAGTGGAAGAAGTTGGGCATGGTAGCTTATATCTGAGGCCCTGGTATTTGGAGGCCGAGGCAGGAGGATTACTAGACTTGGAAGCTTACTATTGATTAGTTTATTATGACCTATCCAGGTCTTGCCTCAGTATATTCCTTCTGTTTTCCGCCTGAGGTAGGTGGAAACAGACTCTTGCTTGATTGTACAAAGAACTAGAAGTTCCTTAATGAACAAAGCCCGTCAGCTGTGGTGGTGCATGCCTATAATCCCAGCACCCGAAGGCTCAGGCAGGAGGGTTGCCCAGAGTTTGAGGACAAGATAAACTACTTAGTGAGTACCAGCTAGGTATGGAGGGACGCGCTTTTAACCCACTACTTGGGAGGCAGAGAGTTTGAGGTCAGTCCAGTCTACACAGTGAGTTCCAGGACAGCCTGACACCAGAATGAGATTTTATATCAAGAAATTCAAAGAAGGGAGGGGAGGGAGGGAGGGAGGGAGGGAGGGAGGGAGGGAGGGAGGGAGGGAGAAATTTAACATAACACACAGTGATAGAAGTCAGGGGCCTAGTCTGGACTCCCTAGCTGTGGTTTTAACCAGCGTTCTGGCTGAGCCCCTTCCCTCTCTCCTTTAATAACATAAGTGGGATGGGATGCACTGGCAGCCCCTGCTCTCAGTTCTCACATTCCCTGCTGTCCTTATCCATCCAACAAAATCCACCTCGACAGCACATACCACTGTTATTGTTGAGAAACGGTTTTACGTAGTAGCCCAGGCTGGCCACTTTATAATTATGCATGGATGAATGGCTTGAATCCCTGGTAGCGTCGGTATTCGCCATTGCCCACAGCAACATTCTTTGGTTCCTGCTATGGTAGACCTAAGACTTGGGCAAGTCCATGATACAAGAAGAAAAAGAATTGTTCTGGGTTTTCCCTCAGCAGCTAGGCTAGACCTTCAGCCTACTATTCCAGCATTGCCCACACGCTACACACAGGTACCAGTAACATGCTCCCTCCTCCCTCTTCCTATTTCCTCTGTCAGGTTCCAGTCTTCCCTCTGAGGACAGCTCCTCTGAATTGCCTGCTATAGGCTGGCATAGCTCTGGGCCCAAACATTCAGACACACTCATCTCTGCCACAGAAAATGTGTCCAGTTGCGTGTGTCCATGCTGTTTCTTGACTTCTCCATGGAGGAGGCAAGTGTTCAAACACGTGTTGTTTTCTTTCTCTTTTGCTTTCATTCCTTCCACATACCACTTCCTCCTCCTCCTCCCCCTCCTCCTCTTCCTCCTCTCCCTTCTCATCTTCCTCCTCCTTCTCCTCTTTCCTCTGTCGGTCACCTAGGGAACTTTTCTCTTTGCCAAAGGTTCTCCTTCTCCCTCTCCACACTCACTTCTCCTGGACCATCTTAAATTCTGGCTGAAGAGAGAAAAGACAAGCCGCAAACATAACCCTGGGTCTGTCACCAACGACCCCAAGCTCTAGGTGTTCAATGAGAGGGCCCTCAATCCTTTTAGGGGAAGGCAGAAAATTCTGGCTTCTGCTCACAGTAGCCTTGCAGTTCAACTGAGCACCAGCAGAGTCCGCAGACCCATCCAGAGATGACAAGAAGGACTTTGCAGCTGCAGCGTCTGAACTACACCGGTGTTCTCTTTCCAGTGGGCAGCCACAACTGTAGGCCATGTGGGGTTTTCTTCTGTTCACAGATAAGGAAATGGATAGAAGGAGTGAGCCTGTATTTCCATCTAAGATATGGTGGCCTGAGACACTGGCTGTCTATTACAACACCAAAAAGGCACTCGCGTTTTGGAGCATCAAGCCTTTTTCCTTCCTTCCATGCTGGGCATGGAATCCAGCATTTGTCACATACTAGGCAAGTGCTCTACCACTGAGCTACGCACTCAACACCCATCTCTAAAAGTTTACTCTCACAGCAATCCTACAAAGTTGGCAGCTCCACTACGGAGAATCAGCAGTTCAGAGAGGCGAAAGGACTCTTTTAGAAGCCACAAAGCTCCAAAGGAAGGGGCGGAGGAGTGGGAGGAGGAGAAGAAACAGCACCTCCAGCTAGTGGGGGGCTGGAGAGGGGCGGTGGAAACGCAGGCCAGGACTGGCTGCGATACTTGGAGAGAGTCAGGCTCCGCCTCTTGACCTTGTTCTCTGCCCGCTGGGAAGTAGAGAGCTTCGAGGGATGGGGGTGGGGAGCAGTCTCAGCTCGACCCTGGCCACAGACTCTAGTTAGGCGCACGCCTTGGGGTGTGGCTTCCTTGGGTGGCTGACGGCCTTGAACTCCGGATTAAGGGGCCCGGGCCAGAGAAAAGCCCCAGAGACTCAAAAAGACTTTAACCAGGAAGGTTAGAACACGGAAAAGAGCCGGAGGGAAGCGTGTGAAGGAACGGGCGCAGCTTCTTCCTGTGCAGGTCAAGACATCTGGTTCGCACTGAAGGAATCCCTCAAAAGCCGCGGGAGGGCACAGGCTCAGGGGCGGGGCAGGTCGAGAGATAAGGCGGGGACCCGACCTAGGTCTTCCCTGTGACACTCGGGACACTGCAAACCTCTTGCAGCTGCGAGGGCCCCGGGAGGCCCGCGCTTTCTCAGAAAGTGAAAGGAGTGGGCGGGGGGCGCGGCCGGGGCGGGGCAGGGCCGGGCGGGCGTTGCCGAGGCTCCGCCCCGGGGCAGTCCCAAGCCCCGGGCGCTGAGTGTCTCCAGTCCCCGCCGCGCCGCGGGCTGGTGGGCTCGGCAGCGGCTCCGGTGTTGGGAGATGACCCTGCCCGGGCGCCCGACGGGCATGGCGCGGCCACGGGGCGCGGGGCCCTGCAGCCCGGGGCTGGAGCGGGCTCCGCGCCGGAGCGTCGGGGAGCTGCGCCTGCTCTTCGAGGCGCGCTGCGCCGCGGTCGCCGCCGCAGCAGCCGCAGGGGAGCCCCGGGCCCGCGGGGCCAAGCGGCGAGGGGGCCAAGTGCCCAACGGGCTCCCGCGTGCTGCCCCTGCCCCGGTGATCCCGCAGCTCACTGTGACAAGCGAGGAGGATGTGGCCCCGGCCAGCCCCGGGCCGCCGGACCGGGAGGGGAACTGGCTCCCAGCCGCGGGGTCGCACCTGCAGCAGCCACGCCGCCTCTCCACCTCGTCCCTCTCCTCCACCGGCTCCTCGTCGCTGCTAGAGGACTCGGAGGACGATCTGCTGAGCGACAGCGAGAGCCGGAGCCGCGGCAACGTGCAGCTGGAAACCAGCGAGGACGTGGGGCAGGTACGGGCCGCGGGGGCGGGGCCAGCGGGGGCTGCGCGCCGGGGACTCCGCTCCCAGCTCTGACGGGGTTGCGTCCCCCACCGGGAGCCCAAGCGGGGGGCAGGGGACATGGGGACGGAGAGGGACCCCAGGACGACCTCTCGCCTTGGTTCTTTTTCGGGGGCTAGGCAGGCGATGGTAGCTGAGCGCTTGGGCGTCTAAAGGAGGTTGAGGAGTACGCGACCCACGGAGCGGGAGCGGGCGGGTCAGCGGGCATACCTGGGTAACTGTCAGGTAGGGCTGGAGAGATCA